GCAGTTCCACAGCAGGAAGTGAGAGCAGAAAAACCTGAGGGCCAAGCAAGGAAGAAAACAAAACAAGGACAGCATGTGGGATGGCAACTGCAAACCAATTACTACACAGAGGGTATACACTTTCTAAGACCCTTTCAAGGCATATTTAAAATGGGTTAATTTTGCTGTACTAGGAATTTTCGAAAAATTCAGCAGATTATTTTTAATATTTATAAAACAAAGATTGACAAATTAAGAGGAAAGTCAAAGTATACCTACATGTTACCTACAAGAGATATATTTTAGATCAAAAGTGAAAGTAGGCTGAAAGTAAGAAAAGGGAAAATGATACACAGTAATCAAAGAGAGCTGGAGTAGCCAAGGATACCTCATAATGATCGAAAGGTCCAGGAAAAAGATGACAAGATGACATCGTGTGTGTGTGTGTGTGTGTGTGTGTGTGTGTGTGTGTGTGCACGTGTCCCCTATATATAGCCTCAAAAAAGATAACCTCAAATGCAAAGACAGACCTGAAAAAGAAGTAGAGATTACAGCAAAAACAGTTGCAAACTATACCACTTTACTCTCAATCATGTACAGGACAACTAGACAGAAGATAACATGAAAGAGAAGATACAACCAATGCTACAAACTGACCAAAACTAACAAATACACTCCAGCAATAGAACAGACCTCTGTAGAGCACATGAAGTACACTCAATGATACATACCTGGTACAGATCATTAGAACATAACCCAGAGACCACAACCAAATGAAACTACAAACCAATGACAGAAGCAAATCTGGAAAAACTGCAAACATGTGGAAATTAAACAAGGATATTCATTGTAAAACAACAGGCAAAGGTGAAATCACAGGGAATTAGAATACACTTTTAAGAAATATGAAAATAAAACACAATACATCAAACTTTCTGGGGATGGAGCAGCAAAAACAGCACATGCACAGAAATTTATAATTTTCCCAGGGCAAAAAAAGATCTCTGGGGACTGGCGAGATGGCTCAGTGGTTAAGAGACTGTACTTGTAGAGGACCCGGGTTTGATTCTCAGCACGCACATGGTGGTTAATAACCGTCTATAACTCCAGTTCCAGGGAATCTGACACCTTTTCTGATCTCCACATTGTATGACACGGGTACACTTAAACTCATGCAGGCAATACACTCAAACATATAAAATAAAAATAAGTAAAATATTAAAAAAATAAATAAATAAAAATAAAAAAGAAGATCCCAAACCAATAATCTAACTTTCTACCTCAAGAAGCTATAGAAACAGGAGCAATTTGAATCAAAAGCAGAGAAAAGGACAGGAATAACAGAAATCAATAAATAAAGACCAGAAAAATATTTGAGAAAATCCTTAAAACTAAGTTACTTCTTTGAACAGCTATATTACCCTGACAAACCTTTAGCAAAAGTAACAAAGAAAAAAAAAAAAGAGTCAAAGTATTAAAATTGAGAAAAAAAGAAGAACTATCACTACCATTTTTGCAGAAAAATTTTTTTAAGTTTTCTATTGAAATTTTGTGTATTTCATATAGAAATTCATCTTTATGCCCCATTCCCCTTTGGTACCCTCTCATAGCACCCCCAGTGGAGTTCACACCTGCAGAAAATATTTTTTAAAAAACATCATAAGGAAATACTATTCATTCTCTCTCTTGTGCTCTCACTCTCTCTCACTGTAGCTTTTCTCTCTCTGCTCAGTTTGCACTGTGAAGCACTGCTACTTGACTGAAAACTACTGCTGGACTGCTAAAACATGAGATGGTCTCAATAAAACATGAGATGGTCTCACTATACACTTGTTATATCACAAATGCTTGGAAAATGAATATATTATACTCTATTGCCAAATGATACTTTCAAAACACAAGTATAGTCTAAAAAGAAAATTATATCACTTGGCAAAAACCAGTAAGACTACTTCCAAATGATGAGGAATTAGGGTGAAACAACAGTTAAAAGAACAGTTGCCACTATAAAGGACAAACTTGCAATTTCAGTGCTTTAACAATATGAAGAGAGACACTAACAAACACCCTATCCTAGTCACAGACCATGTTCTGCAGCGGAGAAGGAAAAAATGAGAATGGGAGAGGAATGCAGGATATGTGACTTTCATCTTCTTTCTGTTCCCTGAGTTGAGTGACAAAGCCCCACCTGACTGGGAAGAAAAGGGAGGGAATCCAGTTGTGATTGCAAGAGGAAAGAAATGAGTTGGAGAAGCAGATAGCCAGTCTGTACCAGTCTGTACCACCATTGAGAAAATATATACAGACACACAAACAGAGACAGACAGACAGACAGACAGACACACACACACACACACACACACACACACGCACACACACAAAATCAAGCCCACGAGTCCCTTGATAACTATGGATAACAACATTTTTGTGATGGCAACCCATTTGACAAAGTAAGCAACCATAACACTGTACAGTGCTATAGAGAAATACTTTCTCTTTCTCATGTACCTTAAAACATTTCTTTTAAAAGTGTGCTGCTTTGAGGCTGGAGAGATAGTTCATCAGTTAATAGAATATATTGCTCTTGCAGAGTATCAGAATTCAGCTTCCAGAACCCATATTAGGTGACTCCAGCTCTAGGGGAACCAACATCCTCTAATGGCTTCTGTAGCCATGGCATTAAAGTACATAAATCCACACACAAGACACATACATATATACATAATTAAAAATAGAATAAAATATCTTTTAAGGTATGTTGCAGGTTCATAGGGGAAAAAAACCCTACAATCTTGAATCCAACCAGTCCTTTAGAGGGAATTCACATTAGAAATAGCATTTATGCTGAGCCTACGAAAAAATAACAACTAGTTCAACAAACCAGAAGTACAGGGCAGAAAGGAGCTCTGGACAGTCCTTTATGTACTGCCCTCAGGCCAGAGATGATGAAAATGTGCCCCACACAGCCAGGTCACATCATTAGGAACTGGCCCAACAGAAACAACTGAGATTTCCTGACTTCCAACAGGCTTTTCTACTTGGTTACATGAGGCTTTCAGTTGAAAACTCAGGTCATCTAAATATTGCTCTTCCTGTGAAATCCCATGGCAACTCACCTAGGCATAACTGTCTGCTCCCTTAGTCCTAACTGTTGTTTCCATTATGAGAGTACCTAGAGAAGAGAATGACTGCACTGGCAATCTAAGTACTTGCACAAACACAGACCATGAACTTTTCATGGCAACCATTCATAACTACAGTTTCAAAAAGAGAAACGTTGTCTCTTTCTTATACAGGAAGGTTGCAACTAATATATCTGCTCTCTTTTGTATTCAAAGGAACAATTAGTGTTTTGCAGAAAATAAATGGTAAATAACTGTCTGCCAAATTTAATAAATAAAACTGAATATGTAAATTAGCAATCAAATTTAGAATAACACTGTTATTAATTTACATCTCAATATGAATTTGAATAAGTAATCCATTCAGATTACTTTGATAATCATTAAATATTAAAGTAATCTTTAAAAATATTAAGTTAAATGTGATTTAGAAATAAATTCAAAATATTATCATGGAGAAATTTTATATACAGAAATTCTATTTTTACCTATTAGAAATATTTTTATTAGATCTTTGAAAAATTCATACAATATGTATCAGATATCAGATCTACCCCCACTTCCCTACCCACATAATTTTGTTTCTTCATTAAAAAAAGATGACCATCAAATCCAATTTGTGCTGCCCATATATTCTTGGCAGTGGGGCCATCTATTGGCATATGGCCAACCTACCTGCAGACTCATCTTTAAAGAAAACTGACACTCTCCCCAGCAGCTATCAATTGCCAAGAGCTTCTCAGCTAAGGGTAGAATTTCTAGCCCACTTAACCCCTCCATGCTGGGATTTTGTCTGGCTTGAGCTTGCACTGGTCTTGTGCATGCTGTCATAACAGTTGTGAACAGCTCTGAGGTTAAATGGTATGGGGGATGGGAGGACAGGGTAGAGGAGGGAATTCAGGAACAACTAATACTAAAGACCTTTAGAAAAGTCATATACTACAGAAGCTTCCTAAAATATATATATATATATATATATATATATGCACATATAAAAAATGTTTAAATGCAGTTACCCTATAATGGGGTGACAATGCCCCTACTAGATACCACGGGCCAACAAAAAGCTCAGTGCCTTTTGCAGATGTTGGACAGTGAGGTCCCTAGATGCTCCCCACCACCAAATACAGGATTTTGCCATTGCTCTTGGTTACCCTCCAGAATCTAACAGTAAGACCTTATTGCAAAAGATATCATATGCTTGAATCATAGAAAATGGAGAAATCAAGCTGGTACTAACCTGGAAGCCTTATCCTTACTGGCTAGCTTTCATAGTGCTGGAAAAGTTCTACACATGCTTCCAGAGGAGAAAAGTAAACCTCAACCTTACCCAGCTGTGAACCCTGTGAGCTACAGTAACAACTAACCTAACAAGATATGCCCATTGGTACAACAGTGGCACAAATGGGAGTAACCAACCACTTTCTGATGATATTTAAGGCCCACTCCACAAGATGGAATCCATATCTGGCACCATTATTGGGGCCAAGAACCTGCTGCTGCTAAATGGACACAGTGTTAATCTGACTCTTAATGACTTATGATTATATAGATAGATTAATGCAGCTCTCAAATCTCATCTAAGAAGCTTCTTTTTGTGGTAGATGGTAACTGACACACAGACTCACAACTGATCAAGGTGCAGAGAATAAGAGACCACAGAATGCTTAGCCCTAAATGGGGTATCTATAACACACCCCTTGCTCCAAGGCTCAAGGATCATCACAAAAGATGAGCAGAAAGGTGGAAAGAGTCAGAGGCAGAGAATAACTACAACAACAAAACAGTGTTTTCCAGATACAACAGGGCAGAAATACATACTTTTACCTTTTACAATAAAAATCAAATTGCCAAAATAATAAAATTGCAGCAACGTAAAAAAAAAATTTTTTTAATTACCTGCTTTCTCTGAAGTTCTAAGAAACACCATATCTGATGGAATTCTTTGGTTCTGGAAAAAAGTAACATATTAATTATTATGTGAAGATATATATTAACAATACCACTCCAAAGTAGAAACAGATAATAAAAATAATCAAAATAAGTAAAATTTTACTACAGTAACATAATTTTCATATCAGAAATTAACATTTCAATTTGTGTTTTAGTTTTTTATACATCCATAAACCATGTACACTTTTCTTCTCTGGAAAATTTTAAAAGCTGTTATTTCTATGACTTCCAATGTACTTTAATCATACACACAACACAGCAGTATTGCCATATAAAAATTACATCTTCCCTATTAGGCAAACACCTTGGAAAGTAAAGACAGTGATTGTTCCATGCCCAACACCAAGGAGCACATCATCAGTAAAATAGAAAACGTGGGTGTGAATAAATGTGAGAATAAGCAAATAAAACTTCCACAAATTTGAGGACCTATTTATTCTCTTATAAGACAGAATAGAAAGTAACCCAAAGATATCATTTGGCATATAAAAACTTTTACAAGTCACTATTCACACAATTAATCATTAATTATTAATTAATTAATTATTCACACAATTAATTATTAATAATTCTACCAATTAGAAAGGCTAAAAGAAAGATCAACCTAAAGGAAAAGTGTGCAATTAAAATAATACTTCACATAATTTCACAAATTATGGAGGGGTTTTTTTTTGAGAACTAAGTAAAGATTTACATCTATACCATAAAGAAGTGGTTTACTTTTCAGTTGACAAGTAATAAATTAAATACAAGTTATTAAGGTTCAAAAAGATACACTGTCAGATATAGCCATTTCTTCTAACACTAAGATTTATAAGTTATAAGATCTAATAGACCCTCAAGTCAAGGAAGAAATGTGAGTGAAAAATGGACAGTGTATTTAAAATAAAAGCTAACAAAAATGTGATAAGTAAATGAGCCGAATCACCAATGTTAGAAAAGTTTTAAGGGGAAGATAAATAAATATATGTAATACAGAATATAACTGCAACAAATTAGAAAACACAAGAGAAAAAATGGAAATATAAAAATAAACAATTTTTAAGAGCTTTAAGAATCAACAAGTATATAGGGAAATGCTAAGGCCAAGAAACTCATTAGAACTGCCCACAAGCCAGGAAAAGGAAATTAACAGTAACTAGAACAAAATGGCACCACATCAAGAAAGATAATTGTAACAACACAAAACAAGAAAATGAAGAATTAGACCCACACTTTCATGGACCCAGACTTATGAGAAAGATGGCACTGCAGGCAATGAGGAAATGGTAGTATTTCCAATAAATAGTGCTGAGAAAAATGGATCTCCACTCGGGGAGAGTGGAGATGACGCCTGACCTCCACATCAATGTGGCACAAAAATCTGATCAAATCAGTTAAAATGTTAGTCAAAATAACAGAACCTCTAAAAGTTGATAGAGAGTGAATTGCCTTGTCACTTTTCAAACATTACAAGACTATTTCATGACTTTAGAGAAGGATTTCTTAACCAAGATGACCACTGCCAAATTATTCTGAAAAGAAAGTACTTAATCTTAAATTTAAAAACTACAAAGCTGGACTTCTCTAAAATTAAGAATTTCTGCTCAAACATGCCCACTGGAAAGGAAGAGAAAAGATATCTACAGTATATACCTATCAGGGGGCTCTGACCTACAACACATAAAGGCATGAAAACTGGTAAGGAAAGAAAGGTCCCCACTCAAGAAAATGCAAGAGATTTTCCCAGGCTCTTCACCAAAAAGAAAGACACAGAAGTCATAATAAATTTCTTTCTTGATTTCATTTTCAGATTATTCATTCACTTATCCTGTCTGTTCCTATATGAGATACTCATAAATTCTATAACTTGAAGTAATTATTATACACTTTTTATTTTTCCTTCCCCCCAAGACCATAGGCAGCCTGAGAGCAAGGACATGTATTTTTGTTCATGAAGAGCCATAGTATGATTGTACAACAGGCTCTGGCAAGTCATCCATTCAGGTTATCTTAACTGTTTCTTGCTATCTTGAATGCAGATATAAACATTCTTGCAGAGGATTTTGTAGCAATTACTATTTCTTTGCAGCAAAAGTACAAGAAATATCATATTTATTTATTTATTGTATGTGAGCATATAAGTGCCAAATTCTCTATGTGGAAATCAAACAATTTGTGAGGGCTGGTTCTAGCCCTTCCACATGTAGGTCCTGGGGATCAAACTCAGATCATCAGGTTTGGTGACAAGCCCCTTACTCAATGAGCCATCTTTCTGGCCCCAAGGTATAAGAATTGCTGGGTCACAAAATAGTCATATAGGTTTGGGGATTATTTTGTTTGTTTGTTTGTTTTAGAGGGGTGGGAAACTGTCAAGTGATTTTCCAGAATAATTGTACCATTTGACTTCTCAAGAGATGTGTAAGTGAACCACAGTCTTCTTGCCACTGGAAATATTTGGTGATGTCATCATTCAAAAAAAATGTTATGCATTCTGATATAAGTGTAGATTAATGGTTGCTTTAATTTTCATTTCTTGATGACTACTGATGTTTGTTTTCATATGTTTATTTTTTATTTGTAACTCTTTGATAAAATGTCTCCTTATGTCTTTTGACCATTTTTGTTTTTTTACTGTTCAATTTTAAAAGTTTTTACATATTCCACAACAAAATTTCTCCCAATGTAGACTTTGAAATTTCATCATTTTTCAGAAAGTACATTTTAATTTTAATAATATACAATTTATCAATATTTTGTTGTATGCATTATTCTTTTGGTATATAGTCTAAGAACTATATTCCTATGTCTAGATTCAGAAGATTTTCTCCTATGTTTATCCTAAAAGTTTCCTAAAAGTTTTGCATTTTACATTAAGTCCAGATTCTGTTTTTAACCTCTGGATGCTCTATCTGTTGAAAGGCCTTCCTTTTTTTTAAAATTGCTTTTGTATGTTTTCCGAAAGTCACTAGTGCTTATCTGGGTGAGTCTATTTCTGGGTTCTCCTTAAGGTTCATAGCATTCGTTTCCATCCCTCTCCTATCCACACTATGCTGATTAACATAGCTATGTAACAGGCCTTGACATAGGAAAAAGGGATTCTTCCTACTGTGTTTTCCTTGTCAAAAGGGCCTTAGCTATTACAGAACCTGTGCCTTTCCAAATTAGTTTTGGAATAATATGATCTATGTCATTAAAAACAAAAAGGTGAGGTGGGGAAGAAGGAAGGAAGGGAGAGAGGGGTGAGGGGAGGGAAGTATTGAGGAAAAGAGGGAGGAAGGGAGGGAAATACAGATTTTACTTTGCTAGAAACTATGTCCAACTTACAGATCTTTTTTTTTTTTTTTTTTTTTTGAATACTGAGGAATATAGAATGTCCTGATCCAAGAACACACCAATTTTCTTATGTCTACATTGATTACTTTCATGAATATATGTAAATTTTAGTATTCTTAAGACTTGAATTTCAAAGGAAGGACTATAAGAAGTATTGCATTTTCATTTGTTTTCATTTGTTCTAGGTTGTCTTACAGAAATCAGGTTATATTTGTGTGTGCCTGTCTTTAACAGTTTATTATTTTTTTATTTTATGTGTATAAATGTATTGCCTGCATGTGTATAAGTGCACCCATGTTGTGCAATGCCCACCGAGGTCAGAAGACGGCATTGGATTCCCCTGGAAATGGAGTTGCAGATGGTTGTTAGCTACCACATGTGGGTGCTGGGAAACCAACCTAGGTTGTCATGCAAGAGCAGCTGGTGCTCTTACTGCTGAGCCATCTCTCTAGCCCAATGTGTGCTTGTCTTACACTTGACATCTTGCTGAATATATTGGCTCTAATTTTTACAAACCTCTTGGGATTTTCCATATTCACCAGCATGCCATCTGCAAATTCAGACATTTTATTTCTTCTTTCCCAATATATACATCTTTAATTCCCTTGTCCTATTCAAGAAACTAGAGCTGCCAGCTAAGAGTGGTAAAAGCAACATTCTTGTTTCCAGTTCAAAGAGGCATCCACCTTACTCTACTACATAGGATGTGTTATTCTATGTAGGTTCTCTAGGTACTTTTTAAGTAGATGAGGTGTCTGATCTCTAAACCCTCCTACTGGCAGTTATCAAAAATGGGACTGATGCTGGGAGTGGTGGTACATGCCTTGGATCCCAGCACTCAGGAGGCAGAGGCAGGCAGCTCTCTGTGAGTTCAAGGTCAGCTAGCGCTAGAGGGCAACCCTGTCTCAAAAGACCAAAACAAAAAAAAAAAGGAGATTGACTTAGTCGAATGCTTTTCTGGCATCAAGTAATATAACATGCGATTTCCCTCTGGTCGGTTGATACAGTAGATCATTCTAGAATGGAAGAATAGGCTTAAATTCTTGCAATGATCATTTCTACTTGGACATGGCTCAGAACTTTATACTAAAAAGTCTATTTATTCTAACAAGGGATAAGGGCCTATAATTTTCTTTTTTTTGTCTTTTCGAGACAGGCTCTCCCTGTAGCCTCAGCTGGCCTGGAACTCTCTATGTAGACCAGGCTGGCCTGGCTCTCACAGAGATCCACCACCTCTGCCTCTCAAGTGCTGAGATTAAAGGTGTGTGCCACCATGTCTGGCTGCTTCCTATTTTTTTTTTTTTTTTTTTTTTTTTTTTTTTTTTTTTTTTTTTGTACTGTCCTTTTTCTGGTGTTGGGACAAAAATAAACTTACCTAATGAAATGAGGGTAAGTGTTCTACCCTATTTTCTGAAAACTATTGTATAAATTGATGCTAAATCCTCTTTAAAGGCTTCAAGGAATGAATCCATACCTAGATGTTTCCTTTTCCAATCTTTTACATTACTAATGCAACTTATTTTGTTTCGCTTTTCATGATTCTAAAGGACGTTTTCATTGACACTAATACAGCAGCCCCTACCACATACACTTTTATTGAATTAATTTAATGTATTTTTCTACATCTTTTATTTCGCCCTACACAAGTTAATAAACTTGAGGTGACTTTCCTGTCATTGGCATAAGGCTTGATTACATTTACCTACCCTGTCTGCCTCTTGTTAAGACCATTTACAATGAAGGTAGTTATTAGTGACTGAAGTTATCATTTTATCATTTGTTTTCACTGGTGTTCTCTGTTTCTCATTTCTTCCTTCTTGGGTATCATCTGCATCCTTTTTGGGAACCTATCTTTGCTACCTTAGTGCCTCTCAGAGTGCTTCTAGTCATATATTTTCAGTCATGGGCACCTGTGTTCTGGGTATTATAGTATACATTTTAGCACTAACTTATTAAATTGAATTACCTCTGAAAAATAAGAGAAAGAAAATGGTTTTTCACCTTGCTTCAGGAAAAACCAATTGCTCTTCTTCTCTAGACTACTTCTAAAAGATTGATAAAGAAGCACTGATACCATGGTCATCCTGAGTTCTGCTCTGAGTCTGTTCCCAGTCACCTAAACCCTAGGGCTTTGGAGACCGTGCCATGACCTACATATGTCATATTCACGTATATGACTTCTGAAGGACTCTAGTTCTATACAGGTGACTAATTTGATTTATGTAAAGATAGGAAACAAACTTTGGCACTTTTTTTCTATTGGAATACATGTATAAAGATATAATACAACCCTGACTCTGAATAGATGGATCTTTTATTTGAACAATCAGTTTAAGAACCTTTTTCTCATTTATATTAATCTCTAAAATAATCCAGATACATGTATCTGTCTGTTTATGTAGGTGCCATCAAATAATGTGTGGGGTGTTTTTGAAATAAAAGATGGCTTCTGTGTGGGGATAAAAAAAGGAAAAACAGCTGGGCATGGTAGTGCATGCCTTTAATCCCAGCACTTGGGAGGCAGAGGCAGGTGGATCTTTGTGAGTTCGAGGCCAGCCTAGTCTACATAGTGAGTTCCAGGATAGCTGGGGCTACAGGGAGGCCCTGTCTCAAAAAGACAAAAAAAACAAAAGGAAAAACAAGAAAGTCTTACAAATGTTTGCTTTTTAAGTAAAATCTTTAATATTGGGGCCTAACTTAGAAAAGTTACAACTAGTTGTTTTCCACCTGAGACACATCACTGTAAATATATCAGTTATGTATGTTAACTCATTGAATTGAATTGATCTGAAGGATAACTGTGCTGTTCAATATTATCAACATAACACAGACTAAACACAGACATTACAGATGGAAACTAAAGTCTAGGGGCTGGAGGTATAACTTAGTGGAGGTTTCTATCCAGCATGCACAAAGTCCCCAAGCACCCAATTAATTACTTAATTCTAAAATCTTACACATAAGGAAGTGGATTTCATGATTAATAACAGTACTCACTCATGCAGTATTATAGAATGTGCACCACGTGAAACTATTAGTTAAAATACTTAAACCAAGTAATGAAAATTAAACAGTAAAGTGAATTCACATCACATCCTTACTTAAATTATTATACAGGCTAACCAATAAAACTGTTTTTCTTATTTTTGTTGTTTTTGTTTTTATGTAGTGCTAGGAATCAAATTCATGGTCTTGCACATGTGACACAAGTGCCATATTCCATCCCAAGATAAAATATTTAACAAAAGGCACGAAGCTCTTCTACACAGTGAACTTATGAAAAATATTGTAAATGACCTAATCTAGCTTCAAAAATATCAATTCTACTCCTAAAATATAAAATAGCTTAAAATCCCTTATATTAACTGTACTTTGCACTGTCCAAACACCATTAGCTATTTCCCTTACCTATAAAAGCTTCCTTAACTTAATATACAATATTTAAAATATAACAAAAGGGTCTGGAGAGATGGCACAGCAGTTAAAGAGCATTGACTGCTCTTGCAGAGAACCCAGGTTTGATTCCCAGCACCCACATGGCAGCTAACAAGCATAACTCAAGTTCTAGGGGATTCAACACCCTCTTCTGACCTCTGCAGGCATTGTACAACATGGATGCATCTATCGACATACAGGCAATACATTCATACACATAAAACAAAAATAATAAATGAAATAAAAATAAATTAAATATTAAAAAAAATAAAATATAACGAAAGGCTCATTGGTAGAGTGCATTCTTGGTGTACAGAAGGCACTGGGTTCAATACCCAGCACCAAATAATAAAGCAAAAGGTATTCAAAATAGCATAATCATTAATATAGCCTATGACAGAAAAAAATAATGTAGCAAGTTTTGTAGGATAAGATACATTGAGTCATGCATCTTAAAACAATCTGTCAGCTGACCCTCCTAAAACAAAGACCTCTAGATAGGGTGACTAGATTCACCAGAAGGGCAAGTAGTGGAGAATGGCTGGGGGGTGCCGACAACACAGCAGACAGTAGCAAGGATATCAGAGTATAAGGGCTCTAGTCGGGGGAGGGAGGCTATGGGAGGGTGCTATCTGGGAAGTGGGTGTAAAAAATAAATTAAAAATAAATAAATACATACATACATACATACATACATACATACATACATACATAAACCAATCTGTCCTATAGAAACATGCACAGATAGAAGGATGGTCACTACAACATTTTAGCAGCATAAATAAAATAAGAAACTTTCCAAAAACTGGATGGGTAAGAGGCTAATAATTGCTGACATTTATGCAATGAAATACTCTTTGTTTCAGTGTCTGTGGATGCTAAGCATATACTCCCAACTATGTAAATATATTAAAAAGCCCAATATTTGCTTTTATTCCACATTCTAAAAATCAAACGACATTCTCTGTATATAAAGTAACAAGGAAATAATTTCAATGGCAAGACTATACAATTAGCCTCAGTCAGCCAATATGCCAGTCAACAACATAGACTGCAGACTGCTTTACAGGGCACTCATATGTCACAGGAAATGGCACAAACAGAAATCTGGGAAGAATCCCTCAGATACAATGTATATGGCCTTTACACATCACAGAATAATGAAAAGATAGCATTCCAGGAGAAAGCCCTCACAGAGGGTGCACATGGTCCTTACACATCACAGGATGAAGCAGGAACAACACTCCAGAAGAAAGCCCTCACACAGAGAGGCATGTGCAGTGTACATGGCATGTACACATCATAGGATGAGGCAGAGAGAGCCCTCACACAGGGAGACAGGTGCAGCATACATTGCATGTACACTTCAAAGAATAAGACATAACACTCCAGGAGACAGCCCTCACACAAAGAGACACATGTAGTATGCATGGCACTTACACATCATATGATGAGGCAAAGACATTACTCCAGGAGAAAGCTCTCACATAGAGAGACTTGTGCAGTGTACATGGCACTTACACACCACAGGATGAAACAGAGACAGCACTACGGGAGAGAGCTCTTAAATACATGGTGCCCATCTAGACACTCTCTAGATCATCACAGCCCTGACATTTTCTATTTTTCTGCGTTTTTTTGAAAACTTGGCTTCTCACCATGACCTATTTTTCTAGTATACTTTTACTTTCATTCACTTCCTCTCTTTAAAATTTTAATCAATAAGAATTATACCCAACAATTATGTATAATATAGACATCTGGATAATGAAGCTCTGAAAATGAAGTAGGTTAGGAGTAACAGTTTCAAACACAATTCTGTGGTTAAATGAGATACAGTAAGCAATTATCACGACCTTTAGACAAGGTATAACTTTACCTATATACATTGAAATACACTTTAGCAGAACACACAGAATATATGTATATCTAAATCTTGTTAAACTATAGAAAATCTTACACAAGCACATTAAGAATTAAAACACTTGTCTCAAACAATTTTCCTCAAATTCAAAAGTTATTGTAATTAGAGTAAATGTTAATGACTGCTGTATATATAGATCTAAAATATATTAAAAATGCATCAACCTTTTCCACTATGATGAGGTCTCCAACTTGTATGTCTGAACTCTTAACTTGCACTTTACCTTAAAAAAAGAAGAAGTACAATCAACTCAAGGAAACAAGAGTATACCAGAGAGAAACTTTGCTAAGTAATTACTTAAAAAAAATAACTCTAGAGCAAGAAACAAAATTAAAAAGCAGAAATTTGTCTATATTCATACTTTCAAGTTAAATTTCAGATATACACTATCATACATAATCTCTTTAAGTAAACTACCAAACACAAACAATTAACTATCCTCTTATAATGGTAACAATAATAATAATGAACAGCAGGGGTTCCTCATGGTAATTTGGTAGAGATTCCATGTAGAAGGTTCTTCCCTATTTTGGTAGTGTTTTGGTTCTCAGTCAAGTTACCAATGATGGGAACATTATGAAATAAAATAATTTGGTGACTGAAACACTAATGTGGAGATATACAAATTTATTGGTACAAAATTCACAGAAAAATATATGAAATCATCATCTACTAGTATCTTTGTCAATACAGGACAAACTGAAAACTGGTAAGAGTTTTACTACTGAAAGTAATTTGATATGTACATATTAAATATATCCTTAAATTATCTATAAACCTAATGTACAATAGCCTATAAAGATAAATATGCAATATATTTAAATATCTGCAAAATATGATGCACAATACCATGTTAAATGGACAAATGTTATATAGATAATCTGAAAACTCAGGCAAATCACTCCTTCCTCCTGTCTCAGCCTTCCTGCCTCTCTGCCTTTTAGGGTAAGCAGCAACCAAGTAGATTTGTTTTAACATGCTTGTAGCTGCAGTTGTAAACACCAATAGGTGCATCTGCAACTTGTACATTCATTTTATTCTAACTGCTAACAGAACCAGAGCTTTACCAAACACCAACATTACAGACTTTAGACTGAATTTTACATTCCTATCCAATAGGTCATAAAGCCTTATTTCCTAACTTCCTCTTAACACAGCTTAGTTTCACTGGACCACATTGTTTCTTAATAGTTGTTTTGTTTAGAGTCATATAGTAGATTTTTGCTATTATATTTTTTCCATGTTTCTCAATTATATAAGCCCAAAAGAGCTAAAGCTACTTTTTATTCATAAGGCAGCAATGTTCTTTAAAATTATATATAAAACAAGCCTTATTATAGTGTGTATATGTCTACACACAGCTAGAAAGCACTTAAAAAGAATGTTTTGTTATAAACATGGTCATTCCAAGTTTCCAGTCTCTGCTCTCACTGTTGTTTTTACAGCTAAGCATCAAACAGTAAAGATGTCCACTGACTTTCAGTCCCTAAGCACATTTCCACAGAATCCCTACACTACCTTTCAATTTCACTCATGGCCAGCCAAATTCACTTGGCCTTCCTTCTGCCTTTTTACATTCTGAGTAATAGGCACATTTAAAAGGGAAAGAAAGAAAAACACCTATACTCATAACATGTAATATAATAAAACATACCATTTTTATTCTTTTATCAAGACACTAAATTTCCAAAAGGTCAATTATGTTGGTATATGGTAACAGATACAACAAATATTTGATACCTTTACTATTCAGATATGATATAGTGATGGTTCTTCATTTCTATGGAATATGTGATTACATGTTTAAAGCAAAACTTTATTGTTAAAAAAATAGTGTCAAAAGTTCTCAAATGTTAATAATATTACACCATGAACAAAATATTAGAAGGTTAAGCTGGTCACAGGGTGGTATGCCTACTGACCCATCACTACTCAGAAATCTGAGGCAGGAGGGTCACTTGACTCCAGAAGTTCAAGACAAGAGTGAAATATAGAGAAAGACTATTCTTTTTAAAAAAAAAAATTAAAATTTAGAAGGCTAAATCAAAACATCATGGCCATTTGCCTAAAATCTGTTCAGTTAAAGTTCATATTTTTACATTTTTAAGATTTGGTCACACTGTATTAACTGTAATTAACTGGAAATGGAGTTACAAATGGTTGTTAACCACCATGTGGGTGCTGGGAAGTGAAGCCAGGTCCTCTGCAAGAGCATCCAGTGCTAGCCATCTCTCTAGCCCCTATTTAAATAACTATTATAAAGCAACAATAGTCAAGAAGAGTATGATATTAAAACAAAGAGTCAAATAAAATGACAGTGAGTACAAAAGCAAGCCCAGAGCCAAACCCACTCAAGAAAAGGGGTAAAGAAAATGCTGTAGGAAAGTGGCTACTTTGACTAAACTTGGAGCTAGGACAACTATACAACCATATGTAAGAAAAGAACTCAAGACATATACTTTGTATTATATGGGAAAATTTACTCAAAACAGATATACATAAATCCTAAAACCGTGTCTAGGAAAAAGACACAGAAACACAGGAGAAAATCTGTGAATATGGGTTATGTAAAAAAGTTTCAGATCTCTGTTGATGCAGTAGTGGCAACTTTATCTAGGGGGGTAATCAATAGCTGTCTAATTGGACTTAAAGCCCTCTAAATGGGAGGGAATTCATGGGTGCCACTGCAAACATAGCCAGTACACATGGCTAGAGAGGTCATAGACCCTAGAGAAAATCCTATCTCTGGAATGTCTAGACAAATGAAATTTCTTACTGTATGCTAAATATAGATCCTTATATTTATAGACAAGTATACCATACACCATTCATAGAAGCTTCTTTTTGAAACAGATGGAGGCTATTACAAAGTTCCACGACTGGTCACACACAGAGAATACATGTCTGACAGATGCACAGACCTAAGTGACACATCTACAGTAGAACCTCTACACGTAAGGCTCATGGAACATGGCTGAACAGGGGGTAAAGAGACTACTAATACATCCTTCAACTTTCAACAGTGAAGTTTCCTCATAAAACAGAGTGCAATGCACACAGAAGACCACAATTGGCTAAGTTTTAGAGAATAAGAGACTGCAGTGTGTGTATTCCTGGATAGGATTCCTATATTAAAGCTCACCCACTGACGGCTCAGGGACCACTGTGGAAGAGAGCTAGGGTTGGTGCATGAACATAAGGAAACAGGTTTTCAGGCCACTAGGAACTTGCTCATATGAACTTGCAATAATGGTGACAGTAGGCACAAGACCCATGTTGACTCAATCAGACAAAAATCCAGCATAGAATGAGGGAAATGGGCAGCAGGCCCCAATCCTAGCCTAGGAACTACTGGCAATTGATTACTGCTGGGTGGGGGAGTAGATATTTAAGATCCTTAGATAGGCTGGACTCCAATGGATGAACTTACCCTGAAGGGCATGTAAGTACAAATGCTTGACCGAATAGGCCAAGATGACATAATAGGCCAATATGACAGAATGCATAAAATCCAGTGGTGGTGGGGGGTATGAGGGGCATAAGCGGGGATGGGGGGTTTAAATTTGATTAACTTCTATTATATGAAATACACAAAAACTTAACTAAAATATATATTTTAAAAAAAGGTTTTAGGACACCATAACCACAATCATAAAACAAACAAACAAACAAACAAAAAACGGTTAAGTTGAACTTTATCAAACAGATTATCAGAAGGCAAAGACTGGTGAAAAAATGTCTGGTCAATAAACTAGAACCTGGGAAATAGTTGTTGAAGTCTGTCCGTGAAAAGGAACAAGCTAGAAAGGCAGGAGGGAACCTGTGATGATTAGTCTTCATTGTCAACCTGACTACTGTGCTGAATGACTTCAGTTGTCAACTTGACACACCTAGAAGAAGGAACCTCAATTGAGGAATTTCCTCTAACCAATTGGCCTGTGGACACATCTTGTGAAGCTTTTTCTTAACTGCTGGTTGATGTGAGAGGGCACCGTGGGTGGTACCATCCCTGGACAGGTGGCCCTAGGTTGTATAAGAAAGCTGTCAGAGCACAGGCCAGAGGAACAAGCCAGTAAGCAATTATTCTCCATGGTTTGTACTTCAGCTCTTGCCTCCAGGTTCCTTCCCTGGCTTCCTGCTCTGGCTTCCATCAGTGATGAACTGTGACCTGGGAGGTGTAAGATAAAATAAACCCTCTGATTCTTACATTGGCTTGGTCAGTGTTTTTATCACTGAAGTAGGAAAGCAAACTAGAACAACTATATTTAAAATCACCTAGAAGACACACATGTCTGTAAGGGCATTTCCAGAAAGATTTAACAGAGGAGGGAAGACCCACTGTGAATGTGTATAGCACCATTCCATAGGCTGGGGGTCCGAGGGAGGGAGGGAGGGAGGGAGGGACCAGTTTTCCTTTCTCTCTGTTTCCTGATTGTCAATACCAAGAGGCCAACTACTTCAGGAACTTGTCACCATGGTAAACTAGATCTCCTCAAACTGTTAGCCAAATAAGCCCTTCCTTTCCCAAGTTGCTTTTGTTAGGTATTTCACCACAGCAATGAGAAAAGTAACTAATACAGAACCTAATGGTACCGGGGGTACCAAGGCAACAGGAATGAATTAATAATGACTGAAAGAGTCACATTTCAATAAAAGCAGAGTCACATCTAAAGAGAGGCCAGGAGACAGAAGGGGTCAAGTAATGAAGGGCACTGAATTTTGAAGGCACAGTAGAAAGGGGGTAAGTATGTGAATAAAGATCAAAACTTTAATATAGAATTTGAGATACTCTGAGATCTGGTGTTTTTTTTTTTTAGTTAAATGACATAACTACAAAAAAGTCATTATGTGATCAGTCCAGGAACACTAACAGCCTATTTTCACTAACTATGAAAATAGCTGACAGGCCTCACTCAGGAAGCCTGTTCTAGATCCTTGCATTACTTTTTGGTTTTTAACATAAATATCCTATTGATATTTCATTTTTTTCAATTGTGTTTTATCTTTAATTGGTACAAAATGACTGTGCATATTTAGAGTGTGCAGCATGATGTCTTGATACATACACATATACACAGTACGTACTAAATGCATAAATTTAGTAAATCCCCTCATAGATTTATCAATTCTATGTGGTAAGAACATTCAATATCTTATCTTTTATTTTTAAATTTTCAGTACAGTGTTTTAGCCATAATCAGCCTACTGTGCTGGAGGACACCA